GTCAGGTACCCAGAGAGTAACCTTGATATAATTTATATTTTCTAAAATACTACTGCGTTCAGAGCGTGCCCACTCAGTAATTATGGCTCTCGAAGAGGACCAACTGAGACCACAGAATGGTGCAGGTCTCGAAAAGGAAGTTAGCGATCGTTCTCATGCCAACTCGTCGGCGACCTCATTTCCTTCGATTCCAAAATGGCCGGGTACCCAGCACAGTGTTACCGTGTTTTTTTCTGCCTAAATTTCTAGCGTGTGAACGCAATCTATAACCAGCATGGATTTCATTGTCCTATTTGAAAGGCGCCGTTCAAACTTTTAATCTGCGGGAAGGTGTTCATCAGACCAAATTGAGCTTAAGAGCTGGCATATGCGGCAAATCGGATCTTTATCATTATACTGTCGGCTCCGAATACTTCAGATTTTAAGCCACGTTCCGCTGGCGTTGCCCTTTAAAAGCGTTATGAAAAGTTCCCTTCATTTCTCAAATTACCAGATTTCCCTCTTCATCTCTGTAGACATCAAGCCAGCATCTCAAGCTCTTCGCACTCATGTCTCTCTGTCGTTCGTTTCTTTCTTTTAAATAGATGTCTCTCGTCTCGGTATTGCCCAACAGTGGATGCAGGTTGGCTTTGTATATTGCGTATTTCTCTGCAGCAGCAATACATCACTCTTCGTCATACCAGATGTTGCTGCGTTTGCGGTAGTATCCAACCACATCTTCTGCAGCGGCACAAAGAGATTGGGAGATGGAATACCACTGCTCATTTACATATATGTATCCAGGAAATGGCGCATTACTTGAATTGAATAGAATTCAGAGTCGATTGCGAAACTTCTCGGCTATCCGTTGTGGCTGTCAAACTTTCGTCGCGCTGCCTGATGCGCAACGATACCTAGGACATTAGCTGTATTAGCTCTTCGGATGGAACGCTAACTCGACACTTGAAGCGTATCTTCTGTCTTACTTCTTCTTTCTTTAATCATCCTTTGACTTTGTGGTGGTTTCTGGTCCTGCTCGTTTCTGGTACTACTGTTCCGTGCCGCGGCGAAATCTATCAGCCTCTATCCGTTGTCGAAGCTATGCTCAGGAAGGCTGAAGTTTCGCTTAACAAAAAAACTGTCTAGGCAAACATCTATTATCCGGCCTTAAAAGCTTTTAAATTATGACTATGCGGAACCGACTCTTTTAGCTTGAATTTTTATTTTCTTTCCTGAACGGCTATTATTGCGCTCCATATGAAAAGTTTGCAAAGCAATAACAATTTTGTTTACATTCCACATTTTCTGTAAAAATTGCTAGAAAATATATAAAACCTGAAATTTTATGTACAAATCTCACATTTCAATTAATCACCTCTTTCTTCCCATCATTTCAGCTTAAATCCTTACCCCCACATACAGGCGTGCCTACAGTGACACCTAAGCACGCGCGCAAAATGCCCAGCCATCACCCCAGCATTGGTCGCAGTCTGTACACGCCAGTATTACTGCTCGCTACTTCCGCCGCCTTTTTGGCGCTTACAGCCTATGCTGAAGGCAAACCAAACGGAGTTGACATTCCGCAACAACAACAATCAAATACACTACTCTCCGAAATGGATAGTGAGGATGCGCGAGACAATTACATCGGCAGTGATACACCGAACTATGATAAGCGTATGGAGCGTTATGCATTCGGTCTAGGACGGCGCGCATACACATACACCAACGGCGGCAATGGGATGAAACGTTTGCCAGTCTACAATTTCGGACTAGGCAAGCGCGCCAGACCCTACTCTTTTGGCTTGGGCAAACGTGGTGAATACGATGAGGATCAGTATATGGATGATCTTATCAATGATAATGTTTACGATGCGGCATTTGTTGGTATGTAATTTTTCAAGAAATTAATACACTCCTATGCTAATTTTTCGGTTAATTTTTGATTCGAAACAAATAGGTGAAAAACGCAACCGGCCCTATAGTTTTGGTCTGGGAAAACGCTCACTTCAAGACCCGCCCCCGCACAGATATGGTTTCGGACTCGGACGACGTTAAGTTTTGAACACTCTCACACATCCACTAAAAAAATCAAATTCAGCCGGACACATACGAACTGCTCGCTGTTGTTTGGTGCTGCGAAGAGGAAATGCTAAGACTAACTATTTGGCATTAAAAGACAAAAGAAGAGAGGGAATTTTAAGAGCAGTCAAGCGGAAGCATACATACATACATACACATATGTCTATTAATTAATGAAATTAACTTCTAGTCAATATTGCTAGTTTGATTATTTTGGAAAGGTATGTTAGTAGGTGCAGGGCAAATCTTCCATAGCAGCTTTTAATAAATAAAAATTGTGCTTTTCGGCGCGCTATATTTTTTAAAAAATATGTGAATGTTAGACACAACTGAGCTGAATCTTATGTTGGGGAGCATACATATACACACACACACGAAAACCTCTTGCCAATTACGATGATTTACATAGTTTTAGAAGTATTAATTTATTTTCGATTTGTGAAATTCGAATAAGTATTTTACAATTACATAAATTCGTCTAAAAAAATATTAAACAAATATATATGCATGTATAAATATATGTATATGTAGCGTATCTATAAAAATAATATATATATATGTATGTATAGTAAAAGTATGCGCGTATTATTAGTGGACACTGAATTGTTGTTGCTGCAGATGTACGAGAATAATGTTAGCTTATACTTATGTATGTATTGTATTAAAAAGTTTAATTTAAACATATAAAGCAAAAGAAAGAAAGCAAAGCAAAACATTAATTTAAAATAAATAAAAACATAAAAGTATTAAATGGAATAAGGAATAAAACAACTATTTTGGAATACGCTGTATATAAAAATTCCGTATATACATACATAGATATGTATACAATATGTTATGTATGTAGAGAGAGGTAACCTGTTCTGTAGAAATGACTTCATACAGATATGCAAAGTGCTGTGTGAAGTAAATAATTAAAAACTACGATTTTAGATTCCTTGAGTTGCATATTAATTTTATTTATCAGTTAGTTTAATTTGAATTTATTTAACGTTCATTATTGCTAATAAAACCAGCGAGCCATAAATAATAATTATTTCATGATGAGGTTATAAAAAGTCATCAAAATTTTCGTATGAATTGTAAAAGTGCGAAAATAAACAAAGTAAAACAGCATATTCAGTTAAAAAAAAAACTATGAACTTTCCAATATGTGATTAATTAAAAAAATTATTTAAAAAATTCAGTTCAATGTAGCATAAAAGTATGTATGGGCAACAAAAGAAAGAGAAAATTTTTTTTGAATTGAAAAAGATTAACTCTTTTGATGCACAAGCACAAATAGGTATTGGAAAAGGCCTTTTAAAATTGTATCCTTGAATATCCTTGAGAATTTCCAATATTTATCATACCATTATACGAGTATGCACGACCAGCGCTCGAATTCCTTCCTTCTAACTTTATTTATTTAGAATAAAAAATGAATTGAAAGGGCATTTTGCAATACTTATTCGTGCTAGTGAACCAAAATAATTTAAATGCTACAAAATTTTCCCTTTCCTTTGTTAGCAATATTATTGTTATTCTATGCAGTTGCACAGAATTTTTTAAATAAATTTTTGAAATAATCACATACATACCAGAAATTTCAATGTAATTTAAAAAGAATCCTGACTTCAAAGAGAAAACTAAAAACGCAGTTGTATTATATTTGACCCACAGTTTCGTGAGTATATATTGATAGCCTCGTGTGCTTTGAAATTTTTTGGCTACGGTCGCACGGTGTAATCATTATGAATGAGACAATTTTTTTTTTTAATTATCGCTAACTATTACTTTGAGACTTATGGCCTTATTCATAAAAAATAAAGTAGCTTTAAAAATGGTTTATAAACTGGAAAATGTATAAAAACAACATTTTATGAAGTTCTTTAAACCTACTTTATTTTTTATGAATACGGCAAAAACTCTGACCTACTAGATTGAGGATTTTCTATCTTTTGGTCGTACTACCGATTTCCATTTTCGACCGGAAAAAGGTTAAACTGGAACCGGAAGTCAATTTTTTTTAAGGATTATGGAATTTTTGCGCAAAAAAAAATACATACTTTTTGTCGTAAACTTCTTCCTGACTAGACTACCATTTTTTATTTGTTACACATGTATGTTTTTACTACAGGGCAAGATAAAGACCTTTTGAGGAGAAATCTTAAAAAAAGTTAAAATTATAAGTTAGCCCCTCGTAGATGGCGGTTATGGAAATCTCGTTCGGGAGCTCACATACATACATACCTACATACTTGTCTCTTAAGTTGAATGTTTTCTAAATATAGCTGGAACCCAATGCACAACCAGGAGCTTGGGACTTTTTCTTATTGAAGTAGTTATGGTCAACAAATTTTGTTTTAGTAGCTCTTTGAAATTATAAATTACATAATTATTTAATTAATGATATTGTTATAGATATCAAAGTGCACTATATTTGAATACATTTTTGTTGTCACTACATCCTACAAATGTGATAAATTTTGTTCGTAAATGTATATGTACATTTTCGCAGGAATGCATAGAAATAAATATAAAATATTTCCATAGTTACCTCTATCTTGGGTAATTCCGCGTGCAAAATTCCTTAGTATTTATGACTTTCTTGTGTATGCGAATGTAATCCCGAGGAGTGCGTAAAATCCCAAAATAAGTAATCCCGAAAAGGGTCATAACATCGCGGGAAAGTCCCGAAAATTAGATACAAGGAACCCGAAATACCCCCAAAGAATCCGTAAATTTCTCCAAATAAAGTAAAAAAAAAAAACAATAAATAAAACTTGAAGAATCTCGAAAAACCTGGAAAATTCCCCGAAAAATCCAACAATCGCTCATCGGCCGGCAATCGCAAACCTCTAAAAGGCCGAAGGCGGCATTTCTATAATTTAGTATGATTTGTAAAACTAATCCTTAAAGCGCCAAATTTTCTAACTGTGAAAAAAAGAGGACCGAAATTGTAAAATTTAATTTTCGTTTGTATTTTGCATACTTTTTTATGATTTTACAAATTAACGTTTTAATAAATGGAGCCCGATTTGAAATTTTAAGAAAAATAAATTGTGGCAGCAGTGTTCCATGAGAAAACATGCGCAAATTTTACACATCTCAACCCAAAAGGGTAGAGTTACTTTGAGAGAGCAGCTGCAACAGACGTAAAAGCAAGAACAGCGTACGTCCTTGTGGTCGGCCAGAACCATCTTCATCACCCTCGTCAAGACCTAAGTCCGCACTTAAGTCATCCGGCAAGTCCTCTAATAGGCTGGCTGTTTTACGAAAAACAAGTTAATTTTATTTCTACAACTTTGGAGATCTTACGAACATAAAGAATGTCGAGAATAATTTTAACTTACAAGGATCTGCGGAATATTGAGGGAAGGTAAGTACTGGTTCTTCTTGGCTCGAAGATGAGGACGAAGATGAGGACGATGCAGCTGTTGCAAAATAAAAAATTTTTTATAAATTAAACTTAAATGCGTATACATATTTTTATAATAAAAATAGCTGGTTTTTGTTCTTACACGAATCTGATGATTCTGAAGATGGTGCAGCTAGGACGGCACATAGCGCTCCAACAAGAAGGACGCCACAAGTTAACGCCAGGTAGGACTTCATTTTTGGAGTACAATTGCTTTACGAATACTTATTTACGGTAAATTTTTGAGTAAATGAGGCTTTGTTCGGCATTTATATAGTTGCTCTTGGTAATTAGTGCACTTATGTGAAACATTTGGTAATCAATCATTTGAAATGATACGAGTGTCAATCACTTTTAATATATTCAGTTTAAACAAATTGAGATACTGGTTATTTTTTCTTTAATAATAACAAGTTTAAGCTTATAGTCATCAAACGTATGAGTGGACTCCATATCTCCATGTTGTTGTAATTATAACTAGTTATGTAAACAAAGTAAAGTTCTCTCTAAGCAGACAAAGCTCTGCCTCGTCGGGTGGTTGTGTGCCCAAAACGGCATTCACAGGTCGGGAGTCTATACATATATAGCTCAATACTGACTCACCGCAAATGCCGTTTGCGGATCTGTACTCGATAGTCGGTATGCAGTTGGGTCCAGAGTTTGTTTACGGAATCTCTGGACTTCGTCCGTCAGTTCGTAGGGATGCCTCCTGACGTGCCTTGGCGAGGGTTCTTCTGCAAGCAGTTGTCTATTCGGGTCCCCATGCCGGTGGGGAGCATCTGGACCTCGTCGTGAAGGTGGTGTTGGGACGACGTCAGGAGGCATTCTATCGCGGTCTGGAGTGCCGTGTTCTGGCATGCCTGCAGATTCTTCTACTGCGTCCTGCTGGTCCCCGGCGACCACACGGGCGCTGTATAGTTTAGGACCGGTTGGCCAATTGCTTTGCATGTTGCCAACAACGTTTCTTTGTCTTTGCCCCAGGTGCTGCTGGCTAGCGACTTGGGGACCGAGGATTTTTGGGTTTTTCATCGTCGTACCCAGCTGCAGTCTGACCTTCTTCGTCTTACTGCCATACCTCAACAAAAGCGTTGGACGGAGCGTTTTCTGACGCCTAGCGTTAACGCCGAAGTGCATTACCTAAACAAAAGCGTCAACGCTACGTCAGGCAACGCTGACGCTTTTGCTTAGGTATGGCAGTTAGTCTTCGTCTTCGTCGTCATATTCGTATTCTTCTCCGTCTTTACTTTCGTAAACGTATTCGTAAAAATTTACATATCTCGATTTATATTGATAACTTGATAAACTTTAAATAACTCAATACATTTCGACAGCTCCATAAATTTTGATATCTATCGACAAGTTTCAATAACTCAATACACTCTGGTAGTTCGAAAAAAAAGCGATTACTATAAATTTCTAAGAATCGATAAATATTAATAATTCAATAAATATCGATAGCTTCATAAGTTTTATTAAATTGACAACTTTCGATAATCCGATAAACTATTATAACTCGATAACTATATATAAATTTTTGCCCTAAGGGCCGGTTGTTCAATGTCTGATTAGCACAAATCGGAGGTAGAAGCTCCGGTTAAGCACAACTACTGCTTTATCGATCACATGTTACATGCATGATGTCGAAATCGTCGATAGTGTAGTGGTAGTGATAACCAGACATTGAACAACCGGGCCTTAGTCTTCTTACCCTTTCAGTTAGCTTAATTCTTATGCGCATGAATTTTTCGCTGTTTTTTTTCGTCTTTATCTTAAATTTTTCTTCACTTTTTTGTCTTCATCGTTTTTTATCAAATCTTCATCTGAAAATTAATACAAAATGCAAAACAAGTGAAAATCACCCAACCTACGCATTGGTCTTTCAGTATGGTCGTGTTACATATGCGGCACTGGCCTGATGGCCAAAATAAAGCGAGTGAGTGCGGGTGCCACTCCGGGTCTGCGTGGGCATCATAGGAGCTATGCGCATCTGTCTGTGATTGAAAAGGAAGCCTGCTGGTGCGCCCTACGGCTAATCAGGATGAAAAGTGGAGATTTTTGGAGTCACTTGGAGGTTCTCAAGCCATTCCTTGATTCTCCCGCTATCCATTTCACAGATATTATGTTGCCGAAATTATCCTTTTACAAGATCTCAAAGGTCAAAATTCCTGAAAGGGACTGAATGAAATAATATCTATGATATGTAGACAAAGGGTCCCAAGTATGGTACACCGATGGACACGGGAATACTGTGCAAGCATACTTGTACCAAGATCCCAAAAAAGTCTGCCAATGGACTCAATTCATACCCAAACATATTTCGGGGGGAAGTCTTCGGAATCGAAGTCTGTATTCAAGAGTGTCTTCGGAGAAGGACAAACGGTGCCAGAACAAATATTATGTCGAATATTCAGGCAGCACTAAAGGCCTTGGACGCATTAAGAACGACATCATGGCTTTTCGACAGTTATAAAACTCTTCGGAACAGCATAGGAGCCCATAATACAGTGACGCGGCTGTGTGTGACTGCGACGTTCAAAGGGAAGAAGAAAATCAAAGAAACTCATAACTTGCCGGGAGGGTATTAGGACTCTTATAGGCTACCTGACAGGACCTGCAAGGTAAGATAATGCTAACTGTAGAGACGGACTGCAGGTTTTGGGGACTGGTGGAGGAAACCTCACAGCATATTCTTTGTGACTGACCGCGTATCAGGAATCGTAGACTCCTTGGGAACCGATCTTCATCCAAAATTTGGAACACGGCACCCTCCAATGTGCTTCTTAAACAGCCTAAGGTCGGAGATATTTTTTAGGTCGCAGGTCGAGTACCTAAACCGATGAATAAGGGCACAACGTGAACTCTTAGCGACTTGCAACTTGCCCTTTATTATACTAAAATTTAATGTTCTAGAAAACTGCATATCCCAAATTTTTATAAAAACCAACAATAAAAAGAAAATACCTTTGTTGAAAATTTTTTTATAACATTTCAAATCATTACAATTTTTAATTAGTTTTTGTTATGTAACTTTTATTAGCTGGAACAGGAGAATCGATCTTCTTCAAAATTGGCACTTTTTCTGCACTTTGAACTAAAAAATGCAATACAAACAAAAAAAAACATAAAAAATTGGGCTCAACTAGACTCTTGAAAATTTTATAAGCTTTCATTAAAAAAAAAAATAATCAAATTGGTTGAGAAATGAAGACTCCAGTGAATTATGAACATTAAATTCCATTTATTGACAACTGTGCATAGCCACAAGTCTACGGTACTAAGATCAGTGTGAGTATTTTAGTTTTGCAATTTATTTATTTCATTTTCTTACTTACATATATATGTATATAATATTAATATTCAACGATTTCAAAGAAAAATATTGGAGATGCATGTGTATTAATTAATTTCAACCATTTGAAACAAAACTTTATTGGAAGAAGCTGATGGAAAAGGCTTTTAATCTAGGCCACGTGGTTCTCGATTCAGCCGTTCTTTAACATCTTCATCCTTGACTGGTGCGCTATCGTCGTCATCAAAGTCATCAGCTACATACATAGATATATGTTGTTAGAAAAGTTCGTATATACAGTTGTTGCATTTTTTTTTAACTTACGAATAACAGGAAAAAAATGGTTTTTGCATTTTGTTGGTTGTGATTGAGTGCTGTTTACATCGGACTTGAAGGAATTAGCTGTTAAGCATAAAAACTCTATAGTAAGGCAAAGAAATTAGCAAATAATTACATTAATAAGCAGTTCGATTAACTTACAAAAATTTAGGAAGGGACGACCCGTTAAGTTTCGTGGAGGAACTGTATAAAGTAACAAAGAAGCAACAAATGGTGCTTAGTACTTAGTTATATTTATGTATCTACATATGTATGTATGTATTACATCATCATAGACATTTTTATACTCACAGATAAACGGTAGTGGCCTAAAAGGATTTCCAGTGAAGTTAAAAGGATTAACTAAAGATTAGGAATGACAAATTAGGAATTGAAAAAGGTTCAAGTAAAATAATATATGAAAAATTTACAAAAAAAAAATATCAAGTTAAAATAAATTAGCACAATAAAACAAATTGTATTAAATACGTACAAGGAAAGGGTCTGAACGGCAGAAAAGGTCTAAATGGCCTCAATGGTTCAACGTCTGGACGAGGACGCTCCGGCAGTGAATCCTCGCTAACATTTTCTTCTACCACTTGATAAAAAAAAAATTAGTTGTTTAGTAAGAATGAAAAAAAATATCAAAAGTAATGAACTTATTACCTTCCTCAGTGTCCGTTGCTGGTGCTGCATTTGCTTGAGGTGTAGCTGCCAGGAAAAGCACTACAATAACTAAGCAAAGGGATAACAACAAAATGAGTTTCATTTTGTAAACAATTCTATTCGTGATTAATACTTTGAAATAATAAAAAAATTTCAAAATACCAATTTATATACTATTTCCTAAACATTGCAACCCTCAAATGCTCAATACCGTTACTATAATCAATCATTTAAAAGATAAGTCTGACAGTTACAACACAAGAAATAAAGCTAGCGTTGTGACACAAACAAACGGAATGTCTAACTATGGGAATTCCCGTCGACTGAGTTGAATTGAACACATCGTTCTCATGACAATATGGTCTACTTAATTCTTTGGGGAATATTTATGCTGCTACAGCAAGAACAACAATAACAATAGGTAATAGGGCAATAGAAAACTACAAACCTGCGTTTATTTGATAATAGGCTTTGATTTCCTGAATGTCAAAACAAAGGATAACATAATTTGGCATTATAATAAAAATAATAAAATGCAAGCAAATTTAGACAATGGATGCGATAATCGATTATTATGTCGATAACAATATCGATAAATATATTGATAACAATATTGATGACAAGACCGATAATTTTAACGAAGATTCCGAAATAGTCTCGAAGATTTCCAAATTGCCCCGAAAATTATCAAACTAGTATTGAAAATTCAGAATTAGTCCCGAGAATCCCCAAAAACCTCACAAATCCCGAAATAGTCCCCAAAGTGAGGTGGGTTTAGGTGATGTATGGTGAGAATGGGTGTGATGAGTTCAGTTGTGGGTAGTCAAGTTGTGGTGGGATCAAATGTAGTTAGTTTAAGTTAGGTTTGGTGAGTTTGGGTGTGGTGGGTTCATGAGGTGAATTTAGCCTCTGTCTCAGTATCTGTATCATTTTCTTTATAATTACTTTTAAATTAATCTTTCTTCATCTAGGTTTATCTTCCCTTTTATCGGTATCCTCATCCTCATCTTTTTCTTCATATTTATCTTTGTTTTTACCTTCAATGTTTTTTATTTTCTTCAGCTACATATTCCCCTTCACATTTCTCCTTATACAAGTTAGGTGTTTAAATTTAACTTGATCTTCATTTTTGCATTATTAGCTCTGATCCAGTACTCCATGAACTTTGAGGTTTTTACACGAACTTGCAGGAGGTTTCAGGAAAAATGATCCCATACTCCAAATTCGTCTAAAATTTTGTAAATGAGAGCGATTTTTGGAGAGTTGTGAAGAGAATGATATTGCCAGATTTTACCCGAACTTTTTCATCTGGTACAATCATGAAAAGTGTCAAGCGATCACTGGTTGACGTTTTTACAGGTAAATGCTTTTTTTGTTCCCGTACTTTTTGTTGTTACTCACTTTTTATACGAAAAGTATTGGAGCAGAGCTATTTTTACGCGTCTTTGTTTTTGTTTTAATTTTTGGGTTATTCACAAGGAGGTAAACCTTTTTTATCTTTTCTTTTAATTTTACAGTTCTAAGGCCCAATTTCAGATGGCCTATTTATTTAGAGATTTTTGATTAACTTCCACTGTTCATTTTCAGATCTTACATTTAATCTGCACTTAAATGGCCAATATCGCCTTTTTAAATATGAGATATACAACCCTGTATTTGTACCAAACAACCAAGATTGATTGGTGGGTTGTTTAATCAATCCCACCAAATCCCACCAAAAAACAATCAGCTGTTCAGCATAAAATGTAAACAAACAAGCAAATGCAACAACAATTTCAAGGAACAAGCAGCAGTGCTGCCAATTGTTTAGCATATTTAAACGAAGTTGATCTGAAACCCAACGAAAGTTAAATAGCATTTAAACAACAATCCACAATTAAACTTAAGTGCTATTTAAATATTCATTTGAAATTGGCCATAATTGTTTGGATAATTAGATCGTAAATTACTGTCAAAATTCGTAGATAACGAAGTGAAATCTGAAATTTGGACTTCAAACTGGCACTAGAAAATAATAATAAAGTTTCAGGACTTTCCGCAGACTGTTGGTTAATGAAAATTTGCAAATTTTTTTTTTAGTTTTTGTCTAAAGGTAAAAATTTAAAGAAAATAATATCCTACAGCATTTGCATTCCATGCAGTGGTGCTTCTTCCGAGAGAGCTTTTTCGATCATGAACGCAAAGTGCAGTTTGAAAAGAGGTCGAGGCTCCAGTAATTTAAATATGCCAGAGAACTGTAAGGCCTCACAATGTTGTTAAACATAACAAGAAATTTATTAGAGCGACGAAAGGCTCATTTGAAAATTACTTCTTAACATGCTAAATATATATCAAAAGTATAACATATCTGTACCAACATATGAATGTTTGTATGGACCCATTGTGTTTACATTTTAATTGCAGAGCATTCGCACGGAGTGCTTGTAAATCAGCCTAATCCCAAAATAGTATTCAAAACAAACTTTGCATCAAAAAATGTACAATGTTTTAATAAATTAAGCAAATAATCAGACGGGATAAATTTCTTGCCGTTTGTCAATAAGAGTTCTTGCGAAAATTTTCTAAGCTTTCAATTATTTCGGCATTAAGCCTATTCCTGTATTTATTTTTAATGAGATTAATATCTGAAATTTTTTTTCGACAGCAGCACTACTGTCGGTAAAATAGCCAACGTCAGTATATACTCTGCCAAATTGCTTAACATACACCTTTATAATACATTTTTCCGGTCCCTGCTTTGGGAAATAAAAAGTAATTTCGTAAGGAATGCTAAAGAGTAAAATAGACAACTACTGTTACACCTTGCTATAAAAAACCTTGGTGGTTGCCACAAAAGTTATTGAGCAAAAATTTAAAAAGTGACAAAATAATTTTGTAACATATTTTTAGGGTGTATGGGTAAAGTAAAAAAAAATCAGAGCATTTTTTAGGTCCAGCGAAGTAGGGAGTAGATTTTAAATTTAAAGTTTCTTATCGGACCAAATTATTTTGTAATATATTTTTAATGTGAATGGGAAAATTAAAAAAATCGGAGCATTTTTGTGGTCCAGCGGACTAGGGAGTAGATTTTAATTTTAAAATTTCTTATCGGAGTAAATCTAGTCCGATCGGAGGAGAGTCCGGACACTGTTGCACACTATGCAAAATTTGCACATGCTGTCCTGCAACAAAAATTGGCGTTGTTATTGTAACCGGGCACATTTAGAAGAATAAGAAATTTTGTAAATAAACCATTTTTTAATCAAAAATTTCAATTAAAATCGAATTGCAATGGAAGATGGTGATGAACTTATTACAAGTTCGAATTTAAGTTGCAAAGTATGTGGAGAGCGCCAATTCACCTTACGTGATGGTTACTATTATTGCCAGGAATGTGGCACAAAGCAGGAGCAAGTGCGCGCCGTACAAGTGGAACGGGATGCGGATTTTTTGGAGGCCAAGCTCTTTAAAAAGCAAAAAATTAAAATTGCAAAAGCAGAGAAACGTAAGCTATTTATCAAATCCATTTACAAAACACTATTGCCGCTTTTAATTAAAATTGTTTAATACACAATTGTAAAACCTTAATGCATACATACATACATATGTATTCATATATGAATTTACCCCCAGCAAATCTCACATCATGGGAATGTTATAACTATATACTTCGTGGTCTTGTTAATGATCTTTTATCATTTGGTGCTAAAGAGGATTTAAAATTAATGTCACTTCAGCTGTGGGCGGCTTATTTGCGACGCATGGAAGTAGCATTTTTCAACAAAAAACGCGTTGAATTACCCAGATTGGGTTTGCGATTTCTACAAAGGTGAGTGCATGTGTTTTGAACTTATAGATGCTCTTTTCCTTACAATAAAAATTTTTAAGAATTGATTTTGTTATATACATATTGCCATATTAACACACTCATAAAACATGCATACACCCTTCCCATAGAGATGCATCTGCCGTGTACAACCATGCACTTCAGCGACGAGCTGGAAAGCGTAAACGGCGTCAAACTGACGACTCACGCACATCTGTTGTAAGCAATGAAACAGTAAGCACTCGCCAATTTCGTAAAAACCGGCGAAAATTGGATGAATCCTCATACAGCTTACATTCATCTATGAACTCGACGGATGTCTCACAAACTACCTTTTCTTCGGCGAATACCTCTAGCACAGGTACCACTGGCCGCGCCATTAAATTGCAGTTTTCAGCACGTGCCCGGAAGCATCTGAAAAAAGCTATGCCTGTAAAACATATAGAAAAGCATGCCTTGGACGCTGAAGGTAGCTTAAAGTGCCACCGAATGAAACCGCTGGCAAGATCGATAAGTCGCACTGAGCACGCATTGCTGACGATGAATGTTCGACAAATTTATACTATATTAGGCATAGCGCTTAACCTGATCGGCGATGATATACAGTTGAGCGATTTGGTTCGGTTGATAGATGAGGATCATGTAAGCAGCAAGGATGTCATACAGTACTTTCCAGAAAACATTGCACCGTATTGCAAAGAGATGTTGCATGAAATACAATTTTACATATACCCTACGAAATATAGCGATAAGGTGAAATTTTTACGCAAGCAAAATCTATTGTAAATTCTCAAACAGTTCAATTTTTGCAGGTACTGCGAGAACACATTGGATTGCTCTCAAAGTTCCTAAATATACGCGAATTTGTTCAGCCGAAAATGATAAAACTTGCCGAGCGCTATGTAACTGAGCTAAATCTACCTCCAGACGTGACAGCATATGTAGAGCACCTCATAAATTTGCTGCCCCCACAAATGCGCACACGTACTAGCCACGAGTATCCCGCCTATGAGGCACGCACTATGGCATACATAATATTCGTGTTGAAGTTATCATTCGGACTTGATGGCCACACCGAGAAACTGATATCGCGCGCCGCCACTACAATAAATCAATGCTTGCAAAAACTATCAGAAGAGGGGCGCTGCATAAATGGCCAACTGACACCGCCATCGTTACTATTTGTTTGGGAGGACTGGGTTAATTTTGTGGAAATGCGCAAAGTTATAGTGTCACATTACAACTCAAACTTTTGTCGGCAATTCAAGCAGTGTCAAAGCACGTCCCAACTATTGGAAGAAGTAGAGGAGGACCGGCGCACTCAGTTAGA